GGATCCGGATTTGGAGAGTGGGCTTTCTGAATGTGACTTATTTCCACCACCGATTAATTCAAGGAGAGGTAGGAGGGGCGTGATGTCGATATCTTTGTCAGCCGCCGCGGCTTTAACAATTGCAACAAGATTAGGCGGAGTGAGAATAACATTAATTGGGAGCGGCGGGGATGTTTTTGTTTCTCGGCCTTTAACCGTGAGAGGAAACGAAAAATTACTAATAAATGCCATGGGAATGTCGTGAAATGTGATGTTTACTTGTTTCATCTCGCTAATTGTGATGTCTGACGCGAAAGGATTTGTAATAGTGAATCCGCCAAGAGCCTTTCCGGTTATCAGAGTATCATTTTGGAAGTTAACAAAAGTCGACAATAGCAATCTTTTACCAAAGGGTGGTACTGTAGTATTGATCTTAATTTGACTGAATGCCAGTTTCAAACTATCGATGTTTGTAGAATCTTCGGTACCTACAATGATAAGAGGCTGACTTATATTTGAAATAAATTGTGATAGAAAGATTCCAGCAATTTCCTGCGATGGGGGGGAAAGTAATGTTGTTGCTGTCAAATTATTATTATTAGGGGCAAGAACCAAATTATTGAAAACCACTTGTCCCATGGGAATATTAGAGGCGGTAAATATGCTGAAGGAGACGTCACCAACAGAAATGGTAACGGAAGTTGGATTGAACAATGAGGTCGTGATCGGAATGGTGAGGACATTCGGAGTACCACTTTTTACATCCAAGCTGCCTATGGTGACTGGTTTGGCATTGAATCCTTGGAATCCGGCCAAACCACTTGACACGTTTATGGGAATGCCACTCAGTGGAATCGTGCCGACTGGTGTTTGAGCTTGGGTATCTGAAGAACCGTTGAATCCAAATGTCTTGAAGTTTCCAATGGTCAAGTCTTTAACAAAAGAATCAAATGAATCATGCGCATCATCAAACACCTTTAAGTCTATATCGGAATAAGAGGTGCTAACATTTCTTCCCGTCGTATGTGCCTTGTTTTTGGGAACCACTAGCCTCGCCATATTTTTGTTATCATTGATAAGAACAACATCTTCCGACATCTCTTGAATATTTAAGGTAAAACCGAAAGGAATACTGATTTGAGCAGTGATGTTCGAAGAAGTGATGGGATCGTAGGCCGTATCCTGGGTAAATTTCATGGACATTTCGTTGATGGTGACAGCGCGGACAATTTGTGGGATTGTTATTGGTGGAAGAGTGGTGTCAATCGCTAGTTTTGTGATCGCGGGTATAAGCCAACTGATAGGGGGTTGAAGCCCACTTCCCTTGGTCAAAAGTGGAATTTCTTTTCCGGCAAGCACATCAGCAAATATTTTAGCGATGACGTTCAATCCGTCTCCAGATTGAGGAATCAGACGACCGCTTAATTTCAGATCGGAGGAGGACGAAGGAGCAATGGAAAGTCCAGAAGTCGAGACTTCACCAATCTTTGTGCTTCCAGAGAGAACATCAAACTGAACGACGCCGAGTGTAATACCCACAGAGCCGGAATTTTCGAGAGTTGCATTAATCGTGGTGGAAATACCACCATTCGGTGCATCACCGGGTAGATCATAGCTGTTGATCGTGACAGCATCCTTGAATCCATTCGAACCTTTCAGCGAAATATCCTTTACCATACTAACTCCATCAATTGGTATTTTCAAAGCATTCACGGTAATGTTTCCGGCTTTAACAGTCCAGGTGACAGAATCCGAAGACAAAAGTTGCCCAGCGAAGGCGGCCAAAGCGGCTTTGTTTTTGACTTGGAACGAGGATTTCACGTCTTTAAGGGAGGCTTGACCACCATCAACCGTGATGGGTGGCAGAGAAACAGTGCCAAGGACTTCATTGTTAAATACCAAATCTGCACCACTTGGGAAAGTAATTACGGCAGGCAATGGACCAGCATTTTTAACGCCTCCATTAATCACAGTGACAAAAGAATCTTCGGCCAGGTTTTGAATGGAGAGACTGTCGAAACCGAGAGTTGAACCATCGATGAGGGTTTGAGCGATTGACCTAGAAAGAAGCGGAATCAACTGGACGATTGAAGGATCAGTTTGACTCACAGTGTTCAACTGTGTATAGGGGAACGGCATCACGTATTCACCAATTTTCACTGTTGACAAGAGTGTCATATTAGTGGTAATTTTTGCAAGGGCGGTCTGCACGTATGATTTAATATCAAAGTTTTTAATCTTATCCGGGTCGATGGTGGTAGTTGGTGGCACACCAGGAACAGGAATCTTTCCGATAGTAATTAACGCATCAATAACACTAGTGTCCAAACCAACCGACTGAGCTTGTCTACGTAAAAGACCAAAGAGAACAACTTGGTCAAGATTCAAATTTATCGGCAGGTCCTGAACTTCGGTAGTTTTGTTTCCGGGGAGCACTATCGGATCTTTTGATCTGTCAACTTGAATTCCCGCAAGTGTATCTCCGTCGACGGTGATATTTGCATCAATGGTGAGAATATTTAAAGTAGCCACAAAAGGATTGAACATTGTGACTGACGCGGCAGCATTTACACCGACGTCGGAGGTACCTAGAATCTTCAATGTACTGCCGGCAATCAGTTTAACTAGTTGAGCTGGAACCGTAGCTTCTAGTTTTAAATTGGACAATGCGAGCTTTAATGATGGAACTTCTGTAGAATTCTCATAGCCTTTAAGCGTTACGTTGGAAGGTTGCCCCCCAATGAAATTCTTCAAGAGTTCACTAGCGGCAGGATTGTTTGCAGGATCCATGGTGGAGTTAAGTTTCAAATCATTTAACCCAGGAGCAAGAGATAAGAACACCGATGCATGTCCAATTACTGAATCACCGAAGACGACCTCGAAACTTGTTTCACCAGTTGAGATAGAGGTGTTGGAAGGATTTTCAAGGGTTGCGTCAATTAATATTATCAATGCATCCGAGGTGCCATCAGTAACTGTTACGGAATTAACTTTTGGTGGGGAGGTGCTGAAGTTTGAGAATCCAGGTAAACTTACATTCAACGTAAACGGAAGATTTGATATGGGAAGTGATCCAATAACGGTGTTGGCCAATACATTGCTCGAGCCAGTAATGTTAAAATCCACAACAGATGAGACCAACATTTTTGCAACAAAGAATCCAAATTCGATTTCTGAGCCTGGGTACACATTCAACGGAGTTGGTGGAATATTCATAGTTAATTTTCCATTTTGATCGTCTTTTGTAGGAAATTGAGTGGTGTTAAAGGTAGCAAGTGGAACAACACTAGCAACATCGTAAAGGGTTGCATTTTGAGAAATCTGTTGAATGTTTGTGCTAACGTGAAACGGTAGATGATAGTCGGCAACTGTATTATTTGAAGAAAGTGTGATGGCTTCAGGAGTAAAGTTGAATGAAGGAGAACCAAAATTAAGACCGGTAATGAGTTGCGGTGGTCCACTTGGTGCATCTCCGATCGCAGCGTTCAAAGTCAACGATTGTACAGAAGCGGTGAGCCATGAGACTGGATTGATGTGATCCGGATAAGCATATTGTCCTGTTGCATTTGTGATCACCGGGGTGTTTGTAAGATAGGCGCTCATAATACTTCCAAAATTCGCACGATCTACGTCTGATTGTGGAATGGATGCATTTCCGATCATCGAGACCACCATTTCTCCAGGTACTAGATTGAAGTCATCTATGACCATGTTCGAAATAAAGGTACCATTGTAAGAGACACCGAAACCAATTTTACCCATGGCTATGGAAAATACCGATGGATTAAAGACGGATACAGTGACGTTGAGCAGAAGGGTGGATTTGTCTGGTTGATCGACAGTGAAGTTTACGACTTTTGGGGTTCCAAGTTTATTCGCACCCGACATTGTGACATCTTTATTCAGTGTGAGCCCACCTTTGGTGATACCTAAAGCTTTTACGCTAACGGTTGACTTAAAGGTTAGCTTTATGCTATCTCCATTCAACAAAGCGACTGAGAAATCCGAAAGGCCTTTTGGATTGGTGACGGTGAAACTTTTGTTTGATATGCTAGTTGAAGCACCTCCTCCGTCGATGTGTATTGGATCAAATTCCAAATTACCAATTTCTGTATCGTCCCAAAGCATTACTACCGGAGATTGGAAATTTATTGTTGACTTGAAGGAACCGCCGTTCGAAACACTGGCCGCAGAGCTCATTATAAATGAATCATTGGTAGGATTCGTAATTTCAATACTGGTTAAATTCAATTGCGAATTGTTTATGGTTTTTTGGGCAACCACCGGGAATATGACGAGAACGACCAGAGGAATTGCGATGATGAAGGTCACCACGGAAACCGCCACGAAAATGGCCCAAAAACGTTTCTTATGATAAAAGCGCGAGGAATCACCTTGAGTTGTTGCAAGAGACTTTTGCTTCGTCGAAAATGTTTCAATCGTTTGAGTATCTGCAACACTACTACCAACAACGTCAGTACTATAGGTAATGACCGAATCCCTGGCTAAAGAAGCCGTGTCTGTATCCGCAGGTGTGGTCTCAGACATTGTGTCTGCGTCTGCGTCAGCGAACCAAGAATTTTTTTTTTTTTTTTTTATATATTTATTTATTTATTTTAAGAATTTCGTGATGATATTGCTCTCAGGTCAGTTACCAAAGGACTAAACGATGTTTGATAGTAGTAGCAAAGAGGATCTAATTCAACCTTGTTGACGGGACACCGACACCTTGATATCGAGGAGGATGAATACCAAGGGCGGGTCTGAAATTTCTAGTGAAAACAAAACCTTTTTGTGGCGTGACGGAGTTCAAGTTCGAGATAAAAACGAGAAAGAATGGATAAAAAAAATAAGTTGCGCGGAAATTCCAGATTGATATAGGATGTGAATACATGAAGATCGTTGGAGAAGTCATTTCATACATTTGAATTTATCATATGAATTAATTCATATCAAGGTAGATCGAAACTCTCCACGACTCTAATTAAATGGATCACACATCGGCACACTCACAGAACATACAAAATTAGCGTCGCATACAGAATAGTATTTTGAAGATCTTGCGTGATTGATGTTATCGTTGTCACCTCTTCCACCTTTCCCTTCTCTTTCACTCGTTATATTTTATGTGTGGAGGTTGTGCTCCCGACGCTCCAATCAGATGTCCATCTTTGGTTAGACTACCCGTATCAAGAAAGGAAAGTTTAAATTGTGTGCACATGAATACGTACATACAATGCATTTTATTATAATTACATCCATAACATATATTACGGAACGGGCTATTTATGGTAAGAGTTAACGATGATAGAAAAGGGAAGGTGTGATGAACGAGTTGACGGCGTAGCATTGCAAATTCCGCCCCTCGATGGTTAAATGGTTAAACTCGTTACCATGAAGAAAAAAAAGAGAATACTACTTTTAAAAATTTTAAAATTTAATCCTCACATCTTTAGATGATGATTCTCAATCTCCAGATTATTTTGGCAATTTGGAAATTTGGATCATTTTTGATTAACGAAATTCGTTTCACGATGTCGAATCAGTTGTAAGGGTTTTGTTTTCGCGAAGCAGATCAGTAATGTTGATCTTTATCACCACAAGTTTGAGCCAAGTGCATTATCAATAATGTTTTTAATGCTCTCTTTACCGATTATTGACAACAATCACACAGTATAGGAACGTACGTATATACGGTAATACATTTTGCAATCATTTTTGCTCAAGATAAAAAATGTGTATAGTATAGCTTTAAAAAAAAAATCTCGATCCAAGAAAATGTTTGATAAATTAATATCTTTGATGTTATCCCTTGTTTAATATTTGGATAAAGTTCTTTAATTAAAAAATCGAAATGCGCGAAAAATCAAAATCAAAATCAAAATCAAAATCAAAAGCTTGTTTGTGAATGATCGAATGTTAAAATTTTCATTTAAAATACTGTAGCGACAAGCTATGGCAGAGAAGGATACCGGTAATATGTTAAAAAACATTTTAGCGATTATTATTATTATTATCATTTTGTTTTTTTATAATTAAGATTTTTAAAAAAAAAGATTATATGCTTTGTATTAGCTTGTTAAAAAATTTATTAATCTTAAAATTGAATTAAAAAATGAATTAGTACATCAATACATACAGTATGTACAGTACAGTATTTAATAATATTGTATTGAATATGAATAAGATGACGCGGTTTTATTTAAGAAAAAACTTTCTTTTTTCTTCTAAAATATCCAACGGTTCGATCAAATCCAATAAAAGAAAACGCGCGTACATACGGTAAGCGTATCATGAAACAACCGTCGTTTCCCAATTTTTAGAATGATGAGAAATAATAAAAATGAAACTCTCGAACTAATTAATATAAACCTTTTATACAGTAATTATAGTAATTATATATATTTTATGGTTTGACTGTACGTACAGTATCAATCAAAGAATTAAAAAAAAAACTTTTAAAACAAAGAGTCAATAGAAACCATCCCTTTTATTATACAATGATCTTGGCTAATTATGGTTGGTAAACACTGCAGCCAAGTAAGCGGATCTACGTTAGAAATTAATAGAAAAATGGTGCGCGCATGTCCTTCCTGTTCACCACAATTTTCATGACTAATAAGCATTTGATTATTTAAAGTACTTCTAAACTTAATTAGCTTTAAAACCATTAATAATTAATTTATGATACGCACAAATTTGTTTATACAAGTAATCTAATTGATACGAAGTAAAACGATAGATAATTAATGATGTAAGCCTTTCTTTTTTTGAAAGATGGGAGTCACAATAATGTACAGTTTGTTAAAATGGATTTTAATCCATGTCCGTTTTGTTTTTGTTTTTTTTTTTTAATTATCAAAGTCTATGGAATACCAAAGATGCATTTAGAACGGATTGACGAAGAGAACTCGGTGAACCGGAGAATAGAAAGAAAGAAATTTCCAAATAATACATCCCCAAACCAATAGAAAAAATACCGTGAATAATTATTTGTACAAATCTTGACAGCTCCCCCCAAAATACCATAACCCAGTAAACCAAGGAAAAAAAAAAAAGTACAATATGCAAAATTGGTTGCATGCGGTGACAATGATTGTCTATGCGGAATAGCTCGCCTCACTATTCCGATTACTTGAACTCTGGAAAGATCTTTGCGCGGAGTTGGGTGTGGGTGGTTGCAGATATCCATCACGCTCCTTCGTTTCACTCGTACTCCGTCTAGAGCTTCTCGACATTTGACGCGATGCATTGTTCAATTCATTTCCACTTTCTCGACTTCTTCTACCTCTTCTCTCGTACCTATTTTCATATTCACTCCCACTACTCTGCCTTCTTAATTGCTCCACGTAACTAATACCATTACCCGTCCAAGTCTCAGGTACGGCATCGGCATCACTCTCCCGAACTCGACTTAACGTCTCCTCGTGGTTCATCTGTTGATGCCATGAAGCACGACTCATTCCCCTCGCCCGATTCCTCTCACCATTTCTAATCCCCTCATCTTCGGAATCATCGCCATCGTTCGAAGAAGCAATGCTATTCCTGTTCACACTAGATGCAGCATCACTAGACCTCGAGTTTCTCGCAGCACTTCTCGACAACATAGCAGTGGTGTCAGTGTTCCCGTGTCTCGAAATACTGTTCCTTTTATTGGTGTTCTGCGTGACCCCTGATGGGGTTGACTGTGTAGACGGCACGTATAACCGAGGTAACTGCTGTGGGTATGATTTTGGTGATGGGGAGTAAATGTGCTGCTGTGATGGCGACGAGGCTGTTGGGTTCCCTTGATTCCTCCATGATGGAGATGGTGAAACTGGAGGGGTTGTACTTCGTACACCTCGCACACTTCTCTGACGCGCATCATGACCCCCATACATTGGTCCATTGTTTCCATTATCAGACACCAGGGTCCCTAAATCTTGTTGCTGCAGAAGAGGGCTATTTCCATACGGATTCACTCCAATACCCAATTGTCTGTTTCGTCCCTTCTCCGCCGACGGATGATAACCCGTGTTACCGGTGGCAGCAAAATCCGAATACGGACTTGGCAATGGCGCCAACAATAAGTCGGTGTTGGTACTTGCCGGCCGTGACTCTGAGGGCCTAAGATACCGTGGCGATGGGATGTGCGGATTTATGTAAGCGTGCATATATGCAGGCTCGACTACCACATCTTGCTGCGTCTCCACCATTATTTGTTGTGCGAGCGCGTCTTCTATGACACTGCCTCCCATTGACGTCAAAGGTATCGTCGGCGTGGGCATCTCGGCAATTTCCGTGTTCTTGCGTTTCCTATTGAAACCGTCACCAGTCTTCTTTTCTATTCTCCCATTGCTATTCCGACGAGACTTCTGACGTTTCGAATGTTTCTTCTTCTTATGTCTCAGGTGAGAGGTTGAGGTGGCAGAATATTTCGAGTGGGTGCTTTTTGTCTGAGAAGTCTCCTCCGAAAGTGACGAGGTCGATGAATTGGAGTCGGAATGCACGGGGGAGATGTCATGATGAGGAACATCGATCACCGTGTGGTGGTGGTGATTCAACTCGTGTAAATTACCAATATCGAAATCCGAGGTGTCAAAAGTTTTCGGTTTTGTGACATTGTATGGAGAAGAAATTGCTCGTTTGAGGGAATCGTGAACAGGACTTATGCTGAAATCTGGGTACATTACGGAAATCAGAATGATGTACGCGATGAATTGACCAAAAGTGGAATTCGCCGACAAGAAATCAATAGTGAACTTTGAAAAAAGATTCCCGTTGAGAAAATTTTGTTGCAAGAACAACGTGTAAACGCAGAGCAACAGAGAAGGGGCGTTCCAAATGAACAAGGTGATGATTAACCAAGAGTTCAAGTCCTGGAAGAAGACAAGTTTTCCGTGGGTTTGAGGAAGGATAGTGACACGCGTGGGGGTATTGATCAAGGTGGTGATGCCAAATTGAGTGCGAATACTTGAGAGACAAATCACGAGGGATTGGATGGAGAATGCAAGGTCAGGAACCAATTCTTTGTGTAGTGTATTTGCGTGAAAGATGAATTGTAGTATCGGGAATCTACGTTTTCAAAGAGAGAGACAATGATGAATAACAATGCAGCGTTCGTCGCGATTTTTTTGTTTTTTTTTTTTTTTTACAACTCACTAACTTACATTGGAAACATCAAAATTGCCAGAACTAGATAAATCCGATATTCCAGTGTGCTGGTAAATTGTCGACGTGACAGTTGCCCCATCACCAAACTCCAATAGGCTTGCAGAGCAAATAGACAGGTTCTATTATTTTTAAAAAAATAAAATTATTTTGTTTGAGTTAGCACATTGATCAATCCGTTGTGGCGCAGTAGTATCAATCGACACGCATGATAATGCAGGTTCTGTCCACCAATTATCACACGAGTGACAAATGAAATTTTCGGGATCCACCGTAAATGTTGTACCAATGGTAGCAACAAGAAATTTTTGTTTATATTTTGGATGGTGTGTGTAATGTAAACATCGAAGTTTGGAAGGTCAAAATGAATGGAAGAACTAAAGTGAAAAAAGCTATCTACTAGCTAGTGAGAGAGTTGACCATATTGGACGAATGAGTGGGTGATTTCTGCACATCCACATCAAAAACATTGATCATAGTAAGACCATCAATTAATCCTTTTCGAAGGAAAATGAAAAGGGAACGTAGAAGAGAAAAAAAAATTGACGTAAACAAATTGTCGAGGTTGATCCAACTCACATTATTAGACCCAGACTTGCAGCACCAAAATACAACGCAACCTCCAAGATGAGTTCAGAAGAAACCGACATCGTGTTAACACCCGAATTCGCCAGAGAAGTATAAGTATCATTATCATAACCTTCTCCATATGTTAAGTAGCACAATAGAAAATCATGGGTGAATTGTGAAAGAAATGCGAGTATGAGAGAGTAGGTGAACAAGGAACGCGGATCCAGGCGAATCAACAGAGATGGAGAGAATGACGAGCGATTTGATTGATAAGCACGTATTATCATCCTAAAGAAAAGAAAGGGATTAATTATGTGATAAATGAAAGAATTAATTAATGTGATGAGATGAGAAGAGAAGAGCAATGCCCTCGGTCGTAAAGTTCGAGGTAACCATTATGGTAAATAGAACCACCTACCATATTAGAATGAATGGGATGTAACATGCTCTTACTAGAATATAGAGTGAACAGGTAAATGAATTAATGGATTGACAGACTTCCTTCGACGCGAAAAATGAATGCGGAACATACCGAGATAACTATTGTTCGAATATAGATCCATCATCATTTTTTGTAAAAAAATTTTTGCGCTATTTAACATGAATTCTGTTTCTACAAGATTAAAAAAAATGAAATTCATGCCATTAATGAAGTATTTTTTTTTTTTTTGTTGGCAATGGTTGGAAGAGAGAGTATACGAGGAGACCCAAGGGAAAAAAAAATATATATGACGAGATGAAGATGCAGGGTTATATTTTTAATGATGTGACAATCAACAAGCTAACCTGTTATGAATTGAAGGTTGCGTGGAAAAACAAAAGTACCTGTGCAATGTAGCAATGTATGATATATGTCGTGCCGCGTGTTAAATGAAAATTTTACAAATGAATGATCGTTTCTTAAATGAAAGTATGAATAGGTTGAATGACTGGGTGAATATGATACAAATTGAATCTAATGAAGTCTCGAGGTTAATTAATTTGCGTAATAATAATTTAATAATCGAATTTCTTACAAAGAAAAGTCGACGTTAGAATAAAAAAGAAAAAAGAAAAAAAAAGGACGAATAGAGAAGATATCGTTAATCGGTCCAATTGAGGCTAGCTAATCTCATAAGAATTTGTTTGACCTTGCTAGAAGAATAAACATTACATTAATCTAACACAGAACAAAAAGAATACCGAGGATTTTTATAACGTATTCCTAATAATTAACCGCAAGATTTTGGGGTATTATTACTTGGTAACAGTAACAAAGGGTGCACGTCGTTGGAATCAACAGCTTTTATGTAAATTTTGGAAATAATTACTATTGCCAAGTATTTATATTTATTTTACTTTATAGACGCATTTGCCTACCACAAAGCCAAAACAGTTATCACAATGTAACCGTTTCGTCTATTGACTAATACGAAAATCGTACCGATAATTGGCTATCACGGCGACATTCTACCCTCTTGGTGCGTACGTATCTCTCTATTTTCCTTTTTTGTATACACAAATCGAACCTCTTGGGTGCTTCTTACTACGTCAGTGACGTTCACATTTCTTTGCATCATCAAATCTAGATAAAATTCAAAAAAATTTAATAGCGTTGAAAGTAATACATACAATAGGATATTGGATTAGGTTGAATTGATAAAGAATAAATAAAAAATAAAAATAAAAATAAAAAAAATTTTTTTTTTTGGATTTTTGATTTTACACAAAATTCGCATACACATATACAGTGGAACCAGTGATACCGACGTTCTTACGTAATTTAATTATCGGTAAATTCATCGAAAAGAACGGGAGGCAGCACATGGTATGGCAGGATGGATCTGTAGAAGGAAAAAGCGCTCTACCCGAGTTGATTCCCTATTTCAAAGAAATTCCCAATCTAATAAAATAAGGGCTGCCGCGACAGTCATGCTATCCCGACTATCAATTACTTACCGCATCGAGATTGTTTGATTTTCCGTGAAACAAAACGAAATCTGTCTTTAAGCAATGACCCGTTGCCTATCATGCATCTTACGTGTAACCAACAATGAGGCTAGTTGAGGCTTTACCATTTAGCCATTGGTCCGTTTCAGGTGATTTGTTTTTCTTTTTTATACTTTTTAACCTACTATTTACGATTGGTACGGCATTTTCTAAATACAGTATAATAATCGTTCGTTGTAAATGAGAATGCACGCGCAGTTGCGTTTGTCTGGCTGATCCAACCTTGAGAATTTGACGCCGTATCTATTGTCCGGGAAATCCCTCCTGTATCGACTGTAACATTTCAAGTTAATAAGTTTCCGAAGAAACAAAATATATCGATACTACATTGATTCTTTATTCTTTTATTCCTCATTGAATAACAATACACTTCACTCATCAATTAATCATTATAATACACTATCCACAAATAATACTAGTGAATTAGTTTCTGGGCTTTTTTTCTTCGGGCGCACTATACCCCAACCCCAACTCCGGGTATTGCTTCGGTACCTCCTTTAACACAGGTGGCAACTTTTTCAGGTCTAGCGGTACAGACTGTCCCATCCATGCCGCACGATCAGTATGATCTATTAATTGCTCTTTGGTCAACGGATGGACGAGCACGGAGTGAACACCGCGATTAAGTAAGAACCACGAGTATGTGCGTGAAAAGTATTCTTTCGGACACCAGACCTCATACGAACCCTATTTATTGATTGCGAGGGCAAAATATGGTCAGTATTATTGAAAAATATCTCTGGAAACAAAAGTCATAGACAACTTATTACGCACGATCGAATGAGGTCCGACCGGTGAAAAATTTATGTTGTGAAATGGGACTGGGTGGAAGAATCCTTTTTTCGTCAACTCCACAATCTTCTCGCGTAGTGCCAAAGCTGATTCTCTATTTTTTTGATTGTCCTGTTTTTTTTTTAAAAAAAATGATGTTTCAGTTATTCCGAAGCCTTATTTGAGATTCTTGAAATAAAAGGAATGAATCAAGAAACATGCAAAAAAAAAAAAAATACCTGAAAGAAATAGACATGAAAATGGAATTCTTTGATTTCTTCGAGTTCCTCGTCTAACGATGACCTCGTCTCTGACGATTTTTCTTCCTCTAACTCTTGTTTGACCGCGATAGGGTCATGACTTTTTATCAACATCTTTTTTTTTTTTCGTTTGGATTAGAAATTTTGTAATTTTATCGTTTTTCACCTTCTTCCTTTCAACTTGGTTTGTGTGGGAAAAAAACCACTCTTTGTTTTGTGATATCACAAAAAGACTCAGTTATAAATGATCATCTGACTGTCAACGAAAAGGGAAACCCTTTTACGTTGTATAATCATGCCATGTATTGTTTTTCCCCTTAGGAAAATCAAATGATGGCTAGTCACACATGCGCACGAAGATTACACAATGTAAATTCTGTGATCCAATTTTAACAAACATTGTCGCAGTATGACGTGGCTCAGTAAGGTAATAAGTATCTGTATTAATAAATAAAGTACAGTAAATAGCATCTACGGTAAAAAATTATTAATTATCCGCAATCAACTTAATTCTTATAATAAATATATGATATATTATCATTTACGTATTATCCACAATCTATTTTAAGATTATCAAATAAATAAATATGATATAGTATTTTATTTGATTGTGGTGATCGATAGAAATTTCTAAAATACAATATGTTTTCCAAAATACAAGAAAAAAAACTCATTGAAAATTTATTTATTTTTTTAAAAAAAATAGTTTAGCAATCATTTTATATACTGTACGTCAATTTGTATACATAAAATTACAAAAGTATACTTGATAAAAAATTTTTAAATTTTAAATTATTTGATTATTAAAATCGATTTTATTAAAGTATTTAAGTTATAATATTTAATTGTTTTATAAAAATTTTTATTATTTAATATATATGGTACGTATGTTAATTTTAATAATAGAAATTTATTTATATTTGAATAATTTTATAAATTCAAAATTTAAGAAAATATAAATTGAATTTATTAATATAGTAATAAATTTATTTAATATAAATTTAATTATTTTTGTTTAAATATTATAATAAAATTTGCAAATATATTTTTGAAAAGTATGTATAACTTTAATCAATATAAAAAATATATTAGAAATAATATTTATGATATTGTAAAAATAAGAAATATAGGAGAATAAAAATATAAAAATATATTGTTATAAATTTTTTTTTATAAAATTAAAAGATAAACAAAATTTTATTTTTTAATAAAAAATTCTATTTTAATATATCAATTATTTTGAATTAAAATTTTATTATATTAATATTAATGTTTTCTTTATTAAATTAAAAACAAACTTATTAATTAATTATATATATTTATATATATACTTACTTATTATTATTTACAAACTATTTTTTTATAATTCAAATCTTTATATATTAATTTTTAACAAAAAATCAATTTTTAAAAAAATTTTAAAAAATCAATAATTAATCTATAAAATATTTAAATAAAAAATTTTTTTACTAATAAAAAAATTATGAAAAAAATATACATAATTTTATTAGTTACTATCTAATAAATTTGATTATTAAAATAATTTAATAATTTATAATTGTTTTTTTAAAATCAATATTAAACAGTTAATCATTTTTAATTGGCTTTTTGTTTTTAAATTTAAATTTAATAATAATTTTATTATATAATAAAAATTTTTTTTACATAATCATAATTTTTAAATCTATAATTAAGAAATATATTAATATTGTTTT